GGACCTGTTGTAATCCCAGCCCCATTGTATATTTTCAGCACTGTGTTTGATCTGTCTCATTTCTCTTCTATTTAATCTGAGATGATAAAATTTAATCGTGAAACTTGAACAACAACAAAAAAACATTTTCCTTTTTGTATTGCACATAAGACAAAATGTTATGTACATCCTACTAAGGCAAAGCAGAGTGGGTGTTTATTTCTTCAAGAAATTATAAACTTTAGACGATTTAAAAGGGGAAAAAATATAAGTATGCTGATATGTTTCTGTCATATTACATTTGGAGTTTATATGTGCCAAAACACTTCAATTTGGTTAGTTATGAACCAAAAGTTCAGATGTTTTTCCTGGATGATGCAGTTTTCATAACAACAAACACTGCTAATCTACATAAATTTTAGCTTTGCTTTGAAGCTAGATGCAAGGAGAGTAAAACCTTTACATTGTAAATACTTTAAGCTGTTTTTTTTAACCTATTAATTACCCCTTTCTGAATGAGCATTTAATATGCTACACCTTAAACAAAAATTTGCTCTCCTATTTAGCACGCTCTGTGAAGAATGGAACACCACGCAGCTTTCTCCTCTACCATTTAATATTCCCTTCCTGACTTGCCCATTTCAGTCTAATTGAAATTCACAAAGATAAAAAGCAAGCCATTTAAAACCTTGCAACTAGGGGATCCAAACATCATCTACTTGGTGTATACACTTTACTTGTTACAGCATTTACTTATTTTCCATTTCTATGAGACCATCTTTATTAAGATCTCTATCATTTTGTCATTTATATTACTACTAAATTGTTTATATTTTGATAATGAAAGTTGAACAGCATATGGTTTCTTCCCAACCTTAACTGCTATGCTCCAACAGCATTTCTCATTCATGAATGTCACAATTTTTACAAATGTCTTCATAGATTATTCTCATACTATAGTTTCCCCTGGATTCTAATGCCTATTTATGTATTTTAGCTTAATCGCTTTATTTCAAAATTTGTATCTTCTGGAATTGTTTGTTTTTCAAAAATTAGCCTTATTAAATTGACATCCTTATTAAATTTTCAACCTCATTGTTATATGACCCATTTATATGTAGCTTCACAAAGTTCAGACTATTTTGGATGACTTTTACCATTTGGATTTTAAAAAATTGTATGTTAGAATAGTCTATAGATTTGGATATGCACTTATTTGAAAGATACTCACAAAAAAATCAATTATAAAACCATGATTTTTAGTTTTCCCGCACAAAATATTTTGTAATTTTATTGCTGTTGGATAGCACATTAAAAAAAAAAATGGAAATCAGAAAAGCTGATTGCAGTGGACCTCTACTTACTGCTATATCTATACTAATATTTTACTCTATAACTAGTTCAGCCAAATTTCTTCTAGGATTGTCCAGCTTCTCCAGACATCTGATAATTGCAGCCTGATTTTTTTTCTCCCCTCTAAGTGATGGAGCACAGTGAGCTGCCTGAGATTTGAGAGCCAGGCTGTGTCAGTCATGACTAAGCTCTTCCTACCCACTTTTTTTTTGGAACATGTCCTAAGGCAACCAGTTCTATAGAATTGACAACTAATTGGTGGCAGGTAAATTCATTCCTGCCAAAGCTAGGGCAGTGCACAACCTTCTGTTTGAACTAGTCTGAATAACTCTCCCACAATGTGGATTTGGGGTGGGGAGGTCATGTTTTATCTCTATCCCCCAAACTGAAATCTCTTAAAGAGATTTCCACATGAGGACCAAAAATAAAAGAAAGATGAAAAATTGGGGTATCTTAGTTTTGTCTGATTTTTCTTTTTTTATGCTTCACAATATTGTACAGTTTAAAAAAAATTCACTACAAAACTGTTCATGTTTTTGAACAGATATTGTGTAGAGCTTCCCTTGTTCCTGCCCAGACTTGGCATCACTGTTCTAGGCAACCACTACTCTTTATAACCTAAGGGACTTGAATCTTTAAGTTCTATAAGATAAAATGTATATATAAGAATATATAATATATATGTGTATATTATATACACACATGCAAGCACATAGATATTTATCTGTAGAAAGATAGGTATCTGAACTAATAAAATTAAGTATGTGAATTTAAATGAGAATAACATTTAAAGAACAAACACATTTCCACAAAATGCATTTAGTCTCACTACCACATAATTTGATCATAGTAATTTTTACATACTTTGAAGTACCAGAATTACTTCAACAAGAATAGCATCTCACTATATTTACAAATTTTAATATATCAGCATGTATTCCATAAATAAATTCATATACACTTTACATACTTTCCTGTGTGAGTCATTTATTCAAATGAGAATATAAACTGATGGGAAATTAGGAAATAAAGCATAGATTATTCTCTTTTCACAGAATTAAATATCTTGTACTTTTATGCAGAATGCTTTACTAATTTCAAAATATGTTTGGAGTGCAAGTCTGTTCTTACCTATTCACAATTAGCATTCAAAAAAAAAGGAAGGAAGGAAGGAAGGAAGGAAAGAAGAAGGAAAGAAAGAGAAGGAAAAGCTGGAGCAAATATTCATTTGGTAATTCTCAAGTTAAAACCATGGCTTATTCAAGTTTTATTTTTTCCTGTAAATTGAATTTAGATGGAGGGTTCTAATATGTCCACTAGGTTTCAAGTTTCTGAAAGAAGAAACAGCTGGAAAGGGGGAGTAATTAGCCTTATAAACAAATAATTCCAAAACTACTCTGTTACATTAATGTATCTAGGTCACATTTCATTAGAGCTAAATATATCACATATACTAGCTCAGATAAACTATGCACATACATTCTTCAATCCAAGTAATTCTTCTGTTTATAAAGTAATTTTATAAATCCTTATCCAACTCGTAAATGAAATATATCATGCACTCAGGATACTTTAAAGTCTAACTATTTATATCAAGCACATATAGAGTAACTTATAAGGAAACTCTTTTGCCTTCCTTTTGAGAAATTATAGATAGAATTTATTTTCATGTTTATTTGATTGCTTCCTAAAACAATGATAATAATTTCAGCCCCAAACTCTTTCATTCAAAAGTATACTGTGCATTTCACTGAAGGATAAGCTGTTACATAATTGGCAGCTTTTGCCTGTGAGGCAGGCATTGTAAATATTAATCAAAGTAGTAAAAATAATAAAATAAATCTATAATGTCTTTTTTTGTATAACAGTGTAGACTCCATTCCAAATACTTTAAATTAATTTAGTTAAATATCAAAAGAGTTTGATTATTATTTCCATTTCACTGATGAGAAACTTTAGGCACAGAAAGTTTAATCTTGTTCAAGGTCTCCCAGGGGTGGAGCCAGGAGCAGAGCCCAAGCAATATGTTTCCAGAGTCTCCATCTTTAACTACTATACTCTACTACCTCTATGCTATTTCACGAAAGCCAAAATTCTAGCTTCTTATGTGCAGTCTCACCATGGAAACTTTGGACAAAATATTTAGCTATTGATATCTTGGTGTTATCAATAATGTAAATCTGTTAATAACAGCCATGTATTCATTTAACAAGTCTTACTAAATGTTTGCTTTTTACAAGACTCTCTGGTAGGTACCATTCTGAATATAATGACGATTATGGCATGTTCCTACCCTCAAAGAGCTTACAGCAAATTCGAAAGTCATAAAATAATGTATGACATTAATTGCAAACAAATTAAAGACCAAGGCCTATACATGTACTCTAAAAATTTATTTTCAGAACAAAACTATTTCTACTAAGTAGTAACATATAGTTTAAGAAAA